GAGCTGGGGATTGGGGGGATATGATGGTCCCCTTGCCCAGGCCTGAAGCCTGGGTGAGAGGCGTCAGGCTTGGGTGGGGGGGGGGAGCAAGTGATCAGAGGGAGATGGAGGTCACCTGCCCAGGCATGATTCCTGGGCCAGAGGCCTCAGGCCTGGGTGGGGAACAGAGCCAGTTATCGGGGGGAGATGGGGGTTCCCTGTCCAAGCCTGACACCTCTGGCACAGGCGTCAGGACTGGGCAAGGGACTGATCAGGCGATCGGAGTGTGATGGGGGTCGACGCCTCTGGCCGAGGCATCAGGCCTGGGCAAGGGGCAGAGCTGGCAATTGGAGGGATCTGGGGGTCCCCTGCCCAGGCCTGATGCCTCAGGCATCAGGCCTGGGCAGGGGGCAGGGCCAGTGATCAGGGGGAAATGAGGGTCTCCTGCCCAGGCCTGACACCTCTGGCAGAGGCATTAGGCCTGGGAAAGGGGCCAATCCTGCGATTGGAGGGTGATGGGGGTCAACGCCTTTGGCCAAGGTGTCAGGCCTGGGCAAGGGTGGAGCCCGTGATCGGGAGAGATGGGGTTCCCCAGCCCAGGCCTGAAGCCTGGGCCAGAGGCTCCCAGTATGTCAAGCCTGGGGTGGGAGTGGGTAGGGTACCAAGCCGCAGATTGGTGTGAACTACAGAGGAAGCACCTTTTCTGATCGCTTATTGGTTAAGCTCCCTGTATACCACTGGTAATATTCTTAGTAACTTGGGTAATAAGAATCCAAAACGGTGACCTAGGGTTTTTCACCACACTCCCGGTAAAAAAAATGAAGGTCTGCTGCTGGAGGGCTAAGAAATATCATATCCTGCCCTAGCCACTTTGGCTCAGTGGATAATGCCTTGGCCTGCCGATGGCAGGATCTGGGTTCAATTCTGACCAAGGGCATGTACCTAGGTTGCAGGCTCCTCCCTGGCCCCGGGCCCAGGTCAGGGCTCATGCAGGTGGCAACCAATCAAAGTGTTCCTCTCATTTTGATGTTTCTCTCTGTCTTTCCCTTTCTCTTTCACATTCTCTAAAAATCAATGGAAACATATCCTCAGGTGAGGATAAAAAAATAATAAAGAAATTATTATTATATGAAAGACACATCTTGAAAATACCTAAAAAAGTTGTCATTTTTTTCATGGTGACAGGACTGGAGTCCGTGTTGAAGAAAAAACCTTGCTGGCTGCAGTGACTGGCAGTAGCTGCAGCAGCAGGGTGATGGGGCTGGTGCCTTCCCCTAATCAGCCCGGTCACCTCCCACAAAGGGAGGCCAGACTGCAGCTTAGGCCCGCTCCCCAAGGGGAGCAGGGAGCGGGCCTAAGCTGTCAATAGAACATCCCCTGAGGGCTCCCAGTATGTGAGAGGGGGCAGGCTCAGCTGAGGGACACTCCCCCCCACCCGACCCCCAGTGCACAAATTTCCTGCACCGTGCCCCTAGTCCTATATAATAAAAGGGCAATATGCAAATTGACCCTAACAGCAGAACAACTGGGAATGACTGGTCACTATGACACACACTGGCCACCAGGGGGCAGACGCTCAATCAGAAGATGCCCCCTGGTGGTCAGTGCGCTCCCAGAGGGGGAGCTCTGCTCAGCCACAAGCCAGGCTGATGGCTGCCAGCACAGCGGTGGTGGCAGGAGCCTCTCCCGCCTCCTCAGCAGCACTAAGGATGTCCGACTGCAGCTTAGGCCTGTTCCCCGCTAGCAAGTGTACAAGCCCGAGGGCTCCCGGGCTTCCAGAGGGATGTCTGAATACCAGCTTAGGCCCGATCCCCCAGGAAGTGGGCCTAAGTCAGCAAGTGGTCATTCCCCAAGGGGTCCCAGACTATGAGAGGGCACAGGCCGAGCTGAGGGACCACCCCGCTGAGTGCACAAATTTTTGTGCACTGGGCCTCTAGTATATAATAAAAGGGGGATGTTACTGGGGAAGAGTAAGGGTATAAAGGGAGAGTAGCTATTATCTAATAACTTAAAAAAATTTTTTTTATTGATTTGAGAGGAAAGGAGAGGGAGAGAGATAGAAACATCAATGATGAGAGAAACACCATTGATTGGCTGCCTCCTGCACACTCCACAATGGGGATCGAGCCCGCAACCCAGGCATGTACCCTTGACCGGAATGCAACCTGGGACCCTTCAGTCGACAGGCCAACGCTCTATACACTGAGCCAAACTGGCTAGAGCTCTAATTACTTTCTTACACACAAAGCAAAATGTCACTATTTGTCAATTCTGGGTACTGGCATACAGGGGGGAGGGAGGAGTCTTCTCTATTCCACTTCTCAGTATAGAGAATCAATTCAACACAAATGACTTTTTAAAGAATATTTTTAAATTGATCTTTAGAGAGAGAGGAAGACATAGGGAGGGAGAGAGAAATATCGACGTGAGAGCAAAACATCTATTGGCTGCCTCTTGTACACCACCTACTGCGGACGGAGCCCAAAACCTGGGTATGTGACCTGACCGGAATTGAACTGGCAATCTTTGGGTTCATGAGAGGACACTCAACCAACTAAGCCACACTGGCCAAGGCTCAACCAAAATGATTTTAAAAACTAAAATAAATAAACATGCCTAGTGGAATTCTTTAAAGTATAGAAACGGAGACTTCCAGCTTCCAGTTGTAGAGGGTTCCTTCTTCACAACCACCCTCAGCACATAAGACCCGGGCGGGGGGGGGGGGGAGTAACCACAAACAAATATACACACCAGCTGAAAGTATTGTAAAGTAACCAAAATCAGTCAGAAACTCGAGTGGAATTTACATTCGGGCAAAAGAAACTGCAATGGGTGAATTTCCAGGTCAGGTTTTGTTCTGTGGTCTGTTTGTTTTTTTGCCTAATGGCCCAGTGTAGTGGCTAAAACTTGGACAGAAACCCATAGTCTGACTGGCTTTAAGAACCAAGAAACATAAGAGTTCACAGCACTACAGCAACTAAAAACTGAAAGCGGGGGGAGGGGGCAGGGGGGAGGGGAGGGATTTCAGAAAGGAGAGAACCACACAGGAAAAGCCTTAAATTCTGCATATGAACCAATCCCAGATCTTTGGTGGAGTCCTGAATTATACATCCATGGAACATTTCCAAGCAGCCCTCAAAAGTGACTTCAGCTGCTTTGTTTAGCTAAGTTATCTATCAGTTAAATCTAAAAACCAATCCTCTTCAAAGGAACATAACAGAATCCACGGTCTTCAAAACATATCACTTGTTCACAATGTCCATGATATGATCCAATATTACTAGATATAAAAGACACAGAGAAGCAATACCCACACTCAAGAAAAAAATGCAGTGAATGGAGACATCCTGAGATGACCCAGACATTGGAATTAATAGACAATGATTTTAAAATACTGGTTGTATAACTGCTCAAAAGATATAAAAGAAAATATGTTCACAATGAAGATGAAATTCTAGAGAAAATTAAAACTATAAAAAAGAAACACATGGAAATTTTAGGCTAGAAAATGAAATATCTGAAATAATATGGTGGTTCCATGGTGTAATGGTTAGCACTCTGGACTCTGAAATAGAATAAAAAGTCTGAATATGATGACAGATGAATAAAAATGATTCAATGTGAAGAGAAAAAGATAAAAAAAGAGAAAAGAAACCAATGGTTGATGGGACAGCAATGATTAACATACATGTTGCATAACTGAAATCTCAGGAGGCAGAATGGACATCAGCAACTTTTTAGAAACAATGGCAGAAAACTTTACAAATTTAAAACAAACAAACAGATTTAAGAAGGCCAGCAAATGCAAAATAAGACAAACACAAGGAACACCATTTGAAGGCATACCATAGTCATTCTGTTACAAACCTAAAAATAAAGAGAAAATCTTAAGGACAGAGAAAAAATAAAACTTAAAAACAGGGGAACAACCTAAACTGACGACTTCTAATTAGAAATGAGAGACCAAGAGTAGACAGCTAGCCTGGCCAGATAGCTCAGTTGATTGGAGAGCTGTCCCAAACACCAAAGGTTGCAAGTTTGATTTCCTGCCAGAGCACATACCTAGGTTGCGAGTTCGATCTCTGGTCAGGGTGAATATGGGAGACTGCCTATCGATGTTTCTATATAAAAATATCCTTCTGTGAGGATTAAAAAAAGAGTACACAGCTCACAGTATTTCATGTGCCAGAAAAAATCTTGTCAAATCAGAATTGTATACCTAGTTCCTTCAAGGGAAGAGGAAATAAAGATATTTCAAAGCAATAAAAACTAAGAAAATTTTAGCCAGCAACTGGCAACAGTGACAAATGCTAAAGAAAGTTTTCAGGCCTAAGGGAAATTACACTCCAGGAAAATGAAACCATGTATTTGATACAATTAGTCAAGTCTGAATAAGCACTACAGAATAGTATGGCACCATCAGGCAGGAATGAACAGCACTGGAGAGAGAATGACGTAGACGGCCTGTGGTTGTCAAAAATGGAATTTCAAGATCTCAGACCAACCCAAGTCGTTGAATATTTACAAAATTACCTTTTTCTTCAAAAGTGTCAATAACAAGAAAGAAAAAGAAAGACTAAAGTTATGTTCTAACTTAAAGAAGACTAAAGAGACAACGGAATACAATGTGCGATTTTGGACTAGGTGCTACACAGAAAAAAAATGCCAGAAACCCTATTTATGGCCAGCCAGTATGGTTCAGTGGTTGAGCATTGCCCTATAAACCAGGTCACAGTTCGATTCTCAATCAGGGCACATGCCCAGGTTGCAGGCTTGATCCCCAGTAGGGGCGTGCAGGAGACAGCTAATAAATGACGTTCTCATCATTGATATTTCTATCTCTCTGTCCCTCTCCCTTCCTCTCTGAAATCTATAAAAATATATTAAAAACAAAACAAACAAAAAACCCCTATTTTTGGTACAACTGGTCAAAGTCTGAATCAGACCCATAAAGTAGTATGATAAGCCCTAGCTGGTTTGGCTCAGTGGATAGAGTGTTGGCCTGCAGACTGAAGGATCCTGGGTTCGATTTCAGTCAAAGGCACATACCCAGGTTGCAGACTCGATCCCCAGGGTGTGCAGGAGGCAGCCAATCAATAATTCTCTCTTATCATTGATGTTTCTCTCTCTCCCTTCCTCTCTGAAATCAATAAAAATATATATATTTTTTAAAGTATAATACCAATGTTAAATTTCCTGATTTCAATTGTCCTTGTTTATACAAGTGAACATCCTTATTTAGATATAGACACTGAAATATTTAGGGGTAAAGAGGCATCAAGCCTGCAACTTACCTTCAAATGGAAATAGTACAAACAGACCAAAATATTAACAAAATGTTGGTAAAGGGTTTATGGGTGTTCTCTGTACCAGTCTTACAACTTTTCTGAATTTGAAATTATTTCAAAGTAAAATAAGTAATAAACATGTCTCTTTTGTGAGTGTGGTTGCTACCATCCCCATGCCACTTACCCATCTGGCACTGGTACATGTTCCTTGGACTCTGGTTGTGATCGGAGAAAGGGATAAAGTTGGCGATCACACTCAACAGGCTGTGAGGGAAGAGTTCCTGGTGGGTGGTCAATCCAGCAAAAACCTCATCCTCGAAGATGGCAATATTCATGAAGAGCTGGAGAGAAGGATGAATGCCAACACATTAACTCTTTCTGAGTTCAGTACTCAAAGACTTGAAAGGAAGCTTCCCACCTGGTATAGTGAACACTGAAGGGACCCACAGGAAGCCTCAGTCAGAACAACCACTTGCCTTTCATGCCTCATTATAAATCTACCCTAGACCAATTATGAAGAGGCATTTGAAGAAAGACATTTTTTAATTTTTATTTTAAAAATATATATTCTTTTATTGATTTCAGAGAGGAAGGGAGAGAGAGAGAGAAACATCAATGATGAGCGAGAATCACTGATCTGCTGCCTCCTGCACGCCCCCTACTGGGGATTGAGCCTGCAACCCAGGCATGTGCCCTTGACCAGAATCAAACCTGGGACCTTTCAGTCCACGGGCTGGTGCTCCATCCACAGAGCCAAACCAGCGAAGTAAAGAAAGACATTTTTAATGTAGTACAAAGCGCAGAGCTTTGCAACTGCAAAGATGCAGGGAGAGACTGTGCATGAGGGAATGGTCCAGCCTCAGCATCGAAGGAGCTTGGGATGCAGGTGACGAGACACCAGCCTCCTCAGGCTCAATGGTGGGCGGAGTGAGGGGACACATGAAAACTGCTTCGCGGGGCACAGAGGAAGCAGAAGTAGTTCTGGCTTTCTTTCAAGTGCCAAATTGTTATTAAACAGTAACACTTAAAGAAAGCAACAGTTGCCCTAGCCAGTTTTCTCAGTGGTTAGAGAGTTGAGCACAGGCCTGTGGACTGAAGGGTCACAGGTTTGATTCTGGTCAAGGCCATGTACCTGGGTTGCAGGTTCAATCCCTGGCCCCAGTCAGGGCACATGTATGAGGCAATCAATCGATGTGTCTCTCTCACATCAATGTTTCTCTCTCTGCCTCTCCCCTTCCCTTCAACTTTCTCTAAAAACGAATGGAAAAAATATCCTCGGGTGAGGATTAACAAAAAAAAATAATAATAATTAATAGCTGAAGTCTGTGGAAGTTCTATATGACACAATCACATATACCCACCACACACAGTCCACATACTTGCTCCATAGTTCCAATCAGCTCTTCTTTGCCCAATTCCAAGTTTCGCACAGGCCGCACCAGCCTACAAGGAGTGGTGAAAAGGTACAGTCCTGGGTACAGACTTGGTTTTCCTGTCATGGGGACAAGGGCCACCTCCATCCAGGGAGGGATTCTTTTTTCTCTCAACACCTGTTTTCAACAAAAAAGAAAGTTCAAACCAGAATGACTAATATGTTTTACATCTACCCTGCACCCGGGAAGCAGGCAGAATGGGGGAGGAGGTCAAATATGAAAAGTAGATCTTAAGAATTTACATTCGTTATGCAGGTAACAAATATAGTGCCCTGCCAGTCTCATCTTCTCGGAGAATACCATTCACCCCACACCCAGAGTCGGCAAAAGCTCTACTTTCTTGGGGACTCAGCCTCACTATCAGGCAAACTGGTAATGAATTAAGACTGAGACTGTGGTAAAGGTAACTCAAGAATGTGCATGTAGACATACTAAACAAAATTCTGTTTTCTGATGTCTAAATTAGAGAGTACTGGTTTTGTTTTGTTTCCATCCTCACCCAAGGATATTTTTTCCATTGATTTTTAGAGACAGGAGAAGGGAGGGAAGATGGAGAGAGAGAAACATCGACCAGTTGCTTCCTTCATGCACCCCAACTGGGGCCAGGGACCAAACCTGCAACCAAGGCACCAGCTTTTGACCAAGAATTGAACCCTGACCCCTCGGTCTGTGGGTCAACGCCCCAACCACTGAACCAAATTGGCCAGGGCTGGTTTTATTTTAAAATGTATTTAATGAAAAGGCCCTTCTACCTGGGAATTAAGAAGCAAAACAACAACAACAAACTTCTATTAATTAATTCCTGGGTGAAAGGAAAAATACAAACCAAAATTACAGGAAATTTGAAAACATATAACAAGACCTACGTATCAGAATTTGTGGGGATTCACAAACACATTACCAATAAAAAATGAAAGAATGAACAAAAACGAATTAAATTCATAAATCAAAAGTTAAGAAACCTCAACAGAGTTAGAAAGCTTAAAGACTGATTTCCACATTAGAAATAAAGGTGTCGCCCTGGCTGGTTTGGCTCAGTGGATAGAGCGTCGGCCTGCGGACTCAAGGGTCCCGGGTTCGATTCCGGCCAAGGGCATATACCTTGGTTGCGGGCACATCCCCAGTGGGGAGTGTGCAGGAGGCAGCTGATTGATGTTTCTCTCTCATCAATGTTTCTAACTCTCTATCCCTCCCCCTTCCTCTCTGTAAAAAATCAATAAAATATATTTTAAAAAAATAAAGAAAGAAATAAAGGTGTCTAGCCCTGGCCAGTGGTGCTCAGTGGTTAGAGTGTTGGCCAGAGCATCAAAGGGTCCTGGGTTCAATTCCAGATCAAAGGCATGTACCTGGGTTGTGGCTTTGCTCTCTGCCCCCGGTCAGGGCATGTGTGGGAAGCAACCAGTCTATGTATCTCTCTCACATCAATGTTTTTCTCTCTCTCTTCCTTCCACCTTCCCTCCCACTCTCTCTGAAAAGCAATGGAAAAAATATCCTTAGGTGAGGATTAAAAAAAAAACAAAGAAATAAAGATGTCAAGAAAGCACCCTCAAAGCAAGTACCATAACCAAATGATCTCACGGGAATTCTCGCAGACCTGCCACCAGGTGGCCCACACTGCTCCAGAGCATTCTTTACAAATGTTGATTTTAAAAAACTTAATAAATAATTGACATTTGAGAAAGTATCAGTACTTCTTAAATAGAGAAAATAACACATAGACAATAGAGTGGTGAATGCCTGGGGGGAATGGGGACAGGCTAGCAGGGCTCAATGGGGGAAAAAGGGGGACATATGTAATACTTTCAACAATAAAGGTTAGAAAAAAAATAACATAACATGACCAAGTGGGATTTATTCCAGGAATTTAAGACTCATTATTCATCGCTATTATCAGAGAATGATCACTGTTAGGGAATAAATTAATATAATACACCTAATCTGTCTAAGGGGAAAAAATCTTACAATTTCTCTTCAAAGATGCCAAAAATTAAACACAGAATCCCATATGATCCAGCAATCCCACTTCCAGGTATACACTCAAAAGAACTGAAAGCAGATTCAAACAGAAATCTGCACATCCATGTTCAGTCACATAAGCCAAAAGGGGGAAGCGACCCAAGTGCCCATCGCTGGGTGATGGACAAGCACATGTGGTCTATGTGGTTACCAAGAGCTGTGAGAGGGCAGATGGCAAGGTATTGCTGACTGGGCACAGAGTTTCAGTTTTGGACCATGTAAAAGTTTGGAGGCTGGATAGGGTGATGGCTGCACAACAATATGAATGTACTCAATGCCACGAAAAAAGGTTAAATTTTACATATATTTACAAAAACAACACAAAACCAACCCTACAGGGACCAGGGGGTCAAATCTGATACAATCTATATATTTAAAAGCCTAAGCAACTGAATGACCAAATGATCGGTAGCTATGACGCGCTCTAATCACTAAGGGGCAGATGCTCAACACAGTGGGAGTGCCACTCAGCTGATCAAGGGACGCTGGCGAGCACAGCTGCAGCGGAGTTGCGGCGGCGTGAGCACTCCTGTCTCTGCAGCAGCACTCCTGAGCAGTGGTGGGCAGGCGCAGTGGGGCCAGGATGAGTGCGAGTGGTGCGGCGCCCCGGCCCCAGCCACTTCGGCTCATGTGAGAGGGCGCAGGCCAGGCTGAGGGACCCCACCAGGGCACAAATCTGTGCACCGGGCCTCTAGTATGAGCATAAAAATAAGTAATAGTAACACAATATTCACAAAATAAAACAAGTATCTATAAATCTAATGTAAATACATGAATAAATAAATGGAAGAGAAAGGAAAGCTTTCCCTTACAGAATGGTAACTAACAGAACAGATGATAGGGTTAGAAAACAACCACTTGGCAACCATAACAGTAATAATTAGCACAGCAAAGACTCATCAATGGAATAGTAATAATTCTGCAGAGAATAGAATACAAACTGTGGATGAAAATTTAATGAGGAAAAGGGCTTCCAAATATTTCTCCACAAATTACTGAGAGAAAACCTGTAACAGTACGGTAGATTAACTTAAAAAATACAGCTATGAAGTGATCGACATTGACATCACTGGTCACGGGACAAGCCAACATCACATGCCTCCTGAAAATGGTATTGTGAATCTCGCCATGAGGAAGTGACACATGACCATAATTAAGGGTCAGTCTACACAATAGCTGGCCTTTACTCTTTTTTTTAAGTTTATTTTTTATTGTTGACAGTATTACAGATGCCCCCTAGCCCCCTGCCTCCCCCAGCATCTGCTCCACTCCAGGCCATCATCACACTATTGTCTGTGTCCATGGGCTATGCATATAAGTTCTTTGGTTAACCTCTTCCCCTTCCCTCCTTCTACCCGGATCTGTCAGTCTGTTCCATGCATCCATGCCTCTGGACCTATTTTGTTCATTAGATTCCACATATAAGTGATATCATGTGATATTTGTCTTTCTCTGACTGCTGGCCTATACTCTTTAAAAAAGTCAAGACATGAAAGGCTAGGAACTGTTCCAGAATAAAAAAGAACAGAGACATGACAATTACATGTAACACATGATTCTGGAGTGGATCCCAGACCAGGAAGAAAAAATAGCTATAAAGGCCATTACTGAGGCAACTGCTGTAATCTGAGTGTCAGCTGTGGATTCTAGCAAACTGACCCTCCCTGAATTTGGTAAGTGTACTATGGCTATTAAAGAGAAAAAGTTAGAAAAAATACACTGAAATTTTTATGGAAATGGAGACATGTCTGCATGCCACCCTCAAATGGTTCAGAAGAAAAAATATATACATCTATACTAATAAAAGGGTAGTATGCTAATTAGACCGGGTTGACCAGACATCCAACTTCCTTCCGGACAAAGCCATGGTGGTCGGGGCTGAGGCAGAGGCAGTTAGGGGTGATCAGACCGCAGGGGAGGGCAGTGGGGATGAGATCAGGCCAGCAGAGGGTTAGGGGCAATCAGGCTGGCAGGGGAGGGCAGTTGTGGTGAGATCAGGCTGGCAGGGGAGGGCAGTTGGGGGTGATCAGGCAGGCAGGCAGGCGAGCTGTGAGAGGGATGTCCCCGATTGGAGAGGATGCAGGCTGAACTGAGGGAACCGCCACCGCCCCCCCTCCATGCACGAATTTCATGCACCGGGCCACTACTATATTTATAAAGAGCACACAAATGATAATTGGTGGATCTGGTTAATGGGCATACGGGAGTTCTCTGTGCCAAGACTCTTGTTAGGAGGAAATGCCAAAGAATGTTCTACTCCTTGATCTTTTAATAATATATTTTCAAGACCCAGACGGCAACAGGATATGTATGACTTACATATCTTGCATATCTTTAACATTACTTGAAATATAAAGTTCATATTTTGATGTCCCCTACATGCCACTAGAATTTACAAAGAAAAGTTAAAATCTGTTAGGTTAGCAGACAAGGGCCTCAGTGAAACTACCAGGGGATGTCAGGTACTCTCAAAATGAGCTCTGACCCCCAGGCCCATGAGTGCTCTAGACTGCCTGGGACTACCTCATCAACTAGAAAAGGACCGAAACCAAAGATGCAGGGATAGAGCAATTCACAGACTCACGGTCACCTTAAAATGCCGGAGAGAAGCTGCAACACCAGCAGCAAGCTCCTTATCCACCCAGCCAACCATGACACCGTCCAGCAGGACAGGGTAGCACTCGGCGTAAGGTCGGTGAGGCGTTCCATCAACTGGAGTAACCCCTGTGGAAGGAACAGACAGGGTCATCACATCAGGATGCCTTTTCCAACTTAGAAATTCCCTCCAGATAGGTCTGCTGCTGTACCATCATTTAGATATCTAGTTATCTTGTCTCTAAACCAGAATGTTTTTCACTTCTTAAGTTTCCAAATCATTTCAGCAAGGACACACAAGAACTAGTGACCTGGCCTGTGGGGAGAGCAGCAGGGACAGGAGTGCAAGGAGGGTTTCACTGTGCATCTTTTCTATTTTCATTTCTGAGGCTTGTATATATAACTTTCCCCAAAAATCTAATTACACTTGATCGCCATTATTCAGAGATTCCCTATCTGCAAATTTGCTAAGATTATCTGTAATTCCAGTATCAACACCTAAAGGTGCTCTTGGGGCCAGTGAAAAATCTGCATCACCTGCGCACAGGCTCCCAGCTATGGTCACACATGTCTTCCTGTCTCAGCTCAGACTGTCAACAAGCGTCCTCTGGGCAGCCTGCTCAGTGCCACATGGATGCATGCTTGTGCCTTCTGTTGGCGGTTTCACTGTTTAATCGGCCCCTGAATGCAGAGCTGGCCAGTGTGGCTGAGCACAGGCTGTGTAAGCCTCAGGAAGAGTGCGTGTTAGGGAAGCTTAGTGCTGCTGGCTGAGACCCCGACGTTAGTGAATCACAACGTTAAATGAGGTGCCCCTGGGAGCAATGCCGCTTCCCTAAATTTGGGGTTAGTTGTGACTTTGTAAAACAGAATACCACAAACATCAAGAACCAACTGTAATTAAGTAAAAAAGAATACTCTTCCACAATCCATAATCCACCTGCTGAAGACAGCAAGTGGATTATGGATTGTGGAAGAGTATTCTTTTTTACCAAGTTCACAGGTTGCCTGCTTGGTGTTAGGCATTTTCCATTCTGTCTCCCCCAGGACCAGAGCCCTTCCCATCTCTTCTGCTTGGGATACACTCTCCACCTCTCCACAGTTTTTCCTCCTTTCTACGCTTTCCTGCACTCTGACATTTTAATCACTGGTGGCGAACAACATGATTTTTTCCCTTGTGGACAGAGGACCTGCAGCACTTTACACTGGTTATGACCTCTGAATCTCAAGTAATACTAGTGAATTAGTTGGACTCCCTTCTCAAAGGCCACGACCTAACTGGCAGAATACTTTTAAGCGGAAATTTTCTGGCTCTTGGCTCAATGCCTTTCTGGTTGTTTGGAATGCCTACCACCTGAATCCTACAAACTGAAGTTTTAGATTGTAAATACGAATTCCAGTGGAGACCCCACTCACAGACCAGCAAAGACACAGAAAACTCTGTCTCCAGATCCCAAGAGTGAAGAATGCCCAAAGAAAGGGCATCATTATGGGTGAAGGTGAACCTGAACCCACCACCACACCCAAAGAACAGCACTTAAGACAGCCTTCCAGCAAAAGCAGAGACAGCTCGGCCTGCGAACTCAAAGGTCCCAGGTTCGATTCCGGTCAAGAGCATGTACCTTGGTTGCACACACATCCCCAGTGGGGGGTGTGCAGGAGGCAGCTGATCAGTGTTTCTCTCTCATCGATGTTTCTAACTCTCTATCCCTCTCCCCTCATCTCTGAAAAAAATTAACAAAATATATTAAAAAAAAAAAAAAAAAGCAGAGACAACTGCCAGGCTCCCAGGAACAGGGCTGTGGGTCTGAGGACCTCCAGGTACAGAGTGGACAACCTCCTTTTTAACAGTCTTCCTGCAAAGTGACAATGCTTCCAGCTTAGAGTAGTGGCCGATCCACCAGGTGCAGAAAGAATGACTCAATGGTTACTTCCCATATTAAATGCTGCTTGAAACCAGCCCAATTCCTGCACAGATGAGTAAAATCAATTCCTGCAGAGAAGGCAGCATAACTGTGAAAACACACACACGAGAATGTTACCCTGTCACATACCCAGGTTGCAGAGCAAAGCTGGAATAGATGCTGTGTATACAAACTGCGTGACCACCTCGCATATGGCAGTTAAGTGGTTCATCAGGCCACAGGGCTCCCCATCAGGAGTGTGCACGGGACAAAGGAAACCCCAAGACTCCGGCAGCAGCCTGCGCACTGTGGTGGTCCTCATCTTGGCAAAGTCAGCCCCTCTGTGCACACAGCGGAAATGGGAGAGATAGCGGATGAAGTTCAGCTTATCAGCCACGACACAAAGTCCAGAATTTTGCAGGAAGCCAAGACCTTAATAAAACAAAAGTCATTCAAAAATGGGCTCAACTTGAAAAAAAAAAGGTATATTTTTATTTGAGGCTCTGATGAAAAGCCTCAGAGCACACTGTAAATCATGGAGTGGGTGATTACAAAGTTCACTAGCTCAGATGAGCAGGGATACTGTAAAAAAAAGTAGTAAAAATCCCCAGATTTCACAAACTGTATCAGCCTTGCCTGGTTCCCTATCTCCTCCACAACCTCCACTTGACTGGTTCCCTATCTCCTCCACATCCTCCACTGTGGGGAAACCGTAAACAGAAAACAAAATAGCAAGTAATTAAATGGGATTCATCAGACAGGCTAACACACAAGCAGTTGTCAGTTCTAAAAAAATCTGTATCAGTAGTAGCATCTATTTCAAAACTGCAGATTTCTGGGCCCTCAATTGCCACAGTTGAGTTTTCTAAGTCATTCTGATGCAAGTGGTTTAGGGCTGAGCCCACACAAGAACCCTCTCAGACCACCTGTCCATGTGACCTTCTCAGACATCTTTAGTTTAGACAGAACTCTGAGCTGTCTTTAGTTTTCTAGGAGGCACAGGAAAATGTGATCATCAGAATTGGATTTAAACCATTCAGCACCTTGTCAAAAGCCCTTCAGACTGATATATACTTGTCAAAACTTATAATGTGAAATGTCTTTAGTGAAAGGGAAAAGTTCGCTTTTAAATAGAACCTCTCTTACTGATATAAACCTCCATTAAGCAAATAATTTGAAAAACACAACTAAAATGAAGACTATCTATTTTTTTGAAGCCTATCTATTTAATTTCACCTGTTTTGGAACGCAGATTCCCAGTAGCAAGAAGATACTCAAATGGTTTTGTAAGGTCTATTCCCAGACTTAAAATCTTCATCAAATTTTCACTGTTTATAGACATATTGGTCTTCTGGGCCTTCTTGTCCATACCTATTTTAACAGATACTAACCACGCTTCCATTTTTTCCTGAAATGAATAAATTATACGTTTACTTGAAAGGCTATATTGAAATTACCAATAACAGAAAACTTCTGCCTGATATTCATTTTTATCAGGGCAATTCTAGGCTGCTGAAAATTTTCAATCTAATTTCATGGTTAGATCAGACAGAAACAGAAGTTTTTATCTTTCAGTAAGAATTTAAATAAGCATTACTGAGTAAATAAGGAATTAGGAGATTTTTACTTTAGTCTTCTCCATCTTTTATCCCACTATGTTATCTATTAGATTAAATCATTTTAGGGATAATATTCAAAATATGAAATACCACCAAATGAACTTACTTATGAACTGATCTGTGCTATGCCAACACTCTCTCCACACACACATACACACACACACAGCTCTTGTGACTGACAGTAACTACGCTCTGTAATGCTGCTGTGAACACTTAATTAGCAGGTACTAAACCTTTGCTCCTCGGTACAGACAGGATTAGGTTCCTCCAAGTCTCAAGTCACAACATTCTCATCAACTGAGAAATACGTAAGCTGGTTTTGTGTGTTTCTGTTGAAAGATGCCTTGTTTTATGTGCTGATGTACTACCATCTGCCTCACAGCCAGCAGCACTGTAACTCGTGACTGACAAAGCTCATCTAACGCTCATATGTTCTCGTAAGGCACATCCAAGCCTTCCTGTGCTCCGCATCTCACACAGCAATTCAGCACTATACTTGTGGGCCATTTTTAAACAACAAAATCACCAAGAAAAACACAAAAATGTGAAGAACATGGTACTAAATAAATAGACTCTCGTTCACAGCATGAGCTGAAGCACTCCTAGACCTAGTTGGGAGTGTGGGCATCAGGACACCCAATTATTAGCCCTCCAAGCACATCTGCAAAGGACCCGGAGAGCTGTGAATGCTGATACTGGGCTTACAAGTGAGGCAGTGAGGAGGGGAATTTGTAACAGGGACTCTGCAAAAGAGGGCTGAGCGTCACTATGTGCATACAGGCCACTTACACTTTATCATCAATGTCTGACCAAGATTTGATGTCGTCTTTACTTAGCTTACAAGAAAATATCAGACATTTTTGAACCTGGTACAAGCTAGGACGTTTGATTCTGTACCTTTCTGCCAGGCAAACAAACAACAAATAGAAAAAAGAGAAGATGTACACTGCCCAAACAAGAACTTATGAACATGCACAAAACTACATCATGGGGTGTCATCACCTCAATCCAGAGGTACAATGGGGCCCGGGGGAAAGTAGTGTGCACCCACCTTCAGAAACATGAGGAAGAGCTGCCCGGGTGTGAGCACTTCCTGATTCACTAAACTATCAGGATTCTCCTCCATGCACTCTCCTTTGGCCAAAGCAAACAGCTTCCGGGTCATGAGACAAAGTACATAAAACTTCTCAGTATTAGATTTCAAGTGGATACAGATACACTGGCTGTCAAAATAGAAAGAAAAAGCTTAAAATGATTCAGCTGCTTACCACTACTTGCCATTCTACTAACCAAGGCCCCCAATTCATGCTTACTTAAAAGTCCTTACTCATATTCAGAAAAATCCCTTTTCATCTTACAGCAACATCAGCAAAAGAGCAGAATATAGTCTCAAACAAGGTCTACAGTGGTGTTGGCCAACATGGTAGTGACAAGCCACAAGGACTATATTAAATATTAATTAATTAAAATGGAATAAAATTCAGAACTCAGTTTCTCAGTTGCACTGGCCATTCAAGCACTCAGCGTAGCCCACAGCTGTGCACTGGACCACGCTGACTTACAGCAAGTCACAAAGACAGAGCCCTTGTCTTGGGAAAATAAAGGGACATGATGCCTGCAACTTTCAAATGGTCAGAAGGAACAACATTTACTCATGTGCAGACAAGTAAAGCAAATATAGTAAAAGTGTTAACTGTCAACATGAGTGTCCAATGTACTATCTTTGCAGCAATCCTGGAAGTTTGAAGTTATTTCAAGCTAAAAGTTAGAAAGTACATTAGAATAAAACGATACTACCTAAAACCAGAGAAAGGTGAAGATGGCCACAGAAACAAAGCTAGCCCGCTTCGCCAGGCCAAAATTCAACCCGCGTGACTCATCAGTCCCAACTACATCAACACAAAGAACCAGCGACACCCCCAACCCCCAGTAAACAGTGTAGGCAAAAGCACGCATACTTAAACAGAAACTCTGCCGCTTGTTCATTTGAATACCAGTCAGGGAGACTGAGCTTTACTCTGAAGCGTTCACCCAGATAGTTAAGGACCTGCTTCTGTGTGGAACAACCTTCCTCCATCACCATCCTTAACATCTGAGTAACAGAGTTCCTCAAGAAAGAGTTGTCCTCTTTTCCTTTGATGAGCTCCTGAAAAATCTGGTAATCGGAAAAGCTGACAAGTGCCTAGAATAGAAAAGAGATTTTTCTTTGTCATTGCTAATAATAACGAAACCAACCAATTGGTTCAGGAACAAGTCTCTCCTTTTCTATTTAATACCCGAGAAACACTAGCATCCCACTATTGTTAAACTGAAGTGAATTCTCCAAAGTAAGGACACTTGGAAGACAGGTACCAAGATGGCCCCAATGATCCTCGCCTCCTGGGATTCACAAGCCTGCATAACCTCCTCCCACACCAAATCAGATCCCTTCTGACAAGAGAATATGGCGGAAAAGGTGCCACCCAGCTCTCAAGGCTAGGCTACCAGGGGCACTGCGGCTTCCCTCCCTTCACTGGGCTAACGCTCTGGGGAAGACGGCCACCCCAAACAACCTATGGAGAGGTCACTGGAGAGGAACTGAGACCTCCTGCCAACAGCCTGCACTGACTTGCCAGCCTGGAGGAACCGCCTTGGAAGGGATCCGCCACCCTGGTCAAGTTCCTACACAGCTCAGCCCCTGCGACATCGCTCTGCAACCTCTGAGACCCCAGCCAGAGCTGCCCACATTCCTGCCCACAGAACCTGTGAGGGAGAAACGTTCACTGATGTGTTTTAAGCCACTGAATTCCGAGGTAATGTGCTATGGAGCAGTAGGTAACCAGTGCGGCATGAACTCTGATAAGGAGAACCTATTCATTCTGCATAGGACACGCTTCCAATGACTCCCTTCATAACAAAAGAAATATACTCAGCAAGTCACACCTTAAGTGCGAATCCCAAAGGAAGAAAAAACAGTTCTTTCTGGTAAATAAAGTTCAACATAACTGTGCCATTTTCCAAGTAGTGAAGGTTCATATTGACAGCAGAGTGTTCTTCCCTCACACAGTGCATTGACACTCCTGTCGGAACAGAACAAAAAGCCGGAAACTCAGTAACACTATAACTGCTTCAATCATTTCATTCTGAATTATTTCTATCTTCTTAGAGATAATTAAGAGCCATAACACCAAGTTTAGCCGAGATTGGCAACCAAAAATGTCTCCAGACCTTGTCAAATTTCCCCCAAGGTGCAAAATCTCCCCCAAACAAAGGCCAGGTGGCCACCCCTCGACCCTGAGGGGAGTGTCATGGTACCTGAACCAGAGGACTTCTGGGGCCCACACCCACCTCTGGCAAAGTCAGGCCGGCCTCCAGCCTCAGACTAACATATACACATACGTTCTTTCAGTTTGAAAGATATCAGAAAGTAGGTCTGCTACTATGAAACCTTAACACAGAAATGCTTAACAGAAAAATAAAATGTTATATATATACGAGAGAAAAATGTCAAAGACTCTATTTAGATGCAGCTCCTTTTTTAAAAAATGGCTTAAAACTTTTCTAAGACAACATTCTAAAAGTCACTAGAGCTTACCATATTGAGTGTAGCCAGGCCCTCTAGCTTTCCATTTTGGTCTTATCATTGCAATAGGGAAATTTCTCCGAGGCATAATCAACATTCGGATGACCTTTTCAATGCCATTGATTATGAAATAGCCTCCCATTTCCTGCCAAAGAGATGAATTATAATTTGTTAAACAAAGATAAGTAACTGTGAATATGAAACTGACTAACTGCAAAAATTAACCTCCTAGCAGACCCTGTTCAAAGTGCAGAAGAGAAGAAAGTCCAGGTGAAGTGGGCCATGGATCCCCGGGAAGCTGTCAGCTGTCTTGAAAAGGTTTAGGGACCTGGAAGTATGGGAGGAAGTCGGTACTTTCTCTATCAGACAGTGTTGATCTAATTTGTCTTTCTGTCCCCCCAAATGACCTTAGCTTTCAAATGACATTAAACAAACACCTTATTCCAAAGAAAAGTCTGCAAATGAAAATACCAACCATTTTGCCTTCAGACAAGTATGATTTCCCAAATACATTAAAAAAACAACTGATGACCATATGAAATCTCTTGAAATCAGGTATTAAAATTAATAGGAAAATTATTTTAATTGCTTGTCAATATCACATTTCTGTAATAAAGAGCTACTATTAAGGAGGCACATCATACCAGGTGCTCTATATTATCCTAATATTTAGTCCTCATAACAATGAGTAAGAGCTATTGTGCCCATTTTTAGCAGAGGAAACAGGTTCAGGGAGATTAAACTTCCCAAAGCCATACAACCGGTGACACAGCAGCTGAATGTCAGGCCCAGATCTGACACCAAACCCTCGTCCCTCCAGGTAACAGTCTCTATTACAGGCCGTCTGTAATCTTGATTACTTCAACTCAATGCTGCAAAGCCACCTGACACAGCTAAAAAGAAATGCCAAAGGGAAAGCATATAAGGCACTTCATATCCTCGCAGAATCTTACTGTTCGGTAAAGCAGACATCTTAGAAAACAGTTTTGTCGTTTAAGATGGCTTTAAAAACAGAAATATCTCTAAATATACACCATTCAGAAAATTAGGGAAAAACCTACCAATTATTTCCCCATCATCATCATCATCATAATAATAATAATAATCCTAATTGCACAGCCAGTTTTCATACATTGCTTCATTTGAGACTCATTATGAGCCGTGCACAGTACGCAGACAAGAGATCAATGCTCCACGTTATCTATCCAAAATTGAAGGCAGGTTCAGGGAGATTAAACACCTGATTAGGTAGGAGTGTTCATAGCAGCTTAATATCCCAGGTGAGAACCTGGGGAAAACAGATTTTTGGGAGAGAACTTGGGGGTGTGGGGAGCACTGTGCGAGGGAAGAGGGAGAGAGGTGCTTGCCTGCTGGCTTTGGTTTGTAAGGCCTCTGGCTAGATTGCCTGGGCCTAGACCCTCTGATTTGCACAGTAATGTAAACTGACCTGGCACTTCCTCAGAAGGTGATTTTGACCTCAGACCTGCCAAGCAGCTGCAGGGTGGTGGGCTCCCAGCCTCCCAAAGCCTTGGATGGCCAGGCACCCTGTGTAACCCAGACCCTGGCCCCTGAGCCCCCATGGACCCACTCTGATGAGGAGCTAGCTCCTGATTAGCATGGGAACCTATGGCATTTCTCTCCCTTCCTTCTGCCCTTCCCAGTGCCAGAGCTCACCCATCTGTCCTTGGGGCTGGCAGGCAGGGAAGTAAGTCAGCAGTGCCCACATCTGGTGAGCTCTGGAACAGTATCTGTCTGCGTTTTTGTTTCTGTTCTTTTCCTCCCTAGACTCCAAAGGCAGGGGGAAGACTGGGCAGAGGTTACATGGGAGCAGATGGCAGGAACAGAAATTGCAAATGAAGAAATAGCATTTGGAAATTCTGTGAAGACACCTGGAACTTATGTCCTGTACCTGACTCCAGCCCTAGGAGAATGAGCAGGTGTGCTGTCTGAAAGGAGGGTCCATGCATTTAGGACAGTAGCGCCTCATCCTGAGAGAAGAGGAGGACCAGGATGAGGCCTGGGAGAAGAGGGGTCCCTGGGTCAGAAGGCCCTGCTAGTCTCAGCTAGGAGCCTGGTTTGCTCCCCTGCACCTAGCACTTGGCTGGGCCAGCGGCCCCCCTAGTGGGGGCAAGGACATTTTACTGTACAGAGTGGGATCATTGATAATACTTGGGACTTTTAAATAACTTTTTCAATTTCAATTCATGCAAATGTGGACCTATCCCTATCTCTACCTCCCATCACTCCCTAAATCAGGAAAAAAATCAGAAACCCCTGGGCCAGGAGGGCAAAGCCCATCAGCATCCTCAGCCCAGAGTCAGAAGTTGGGGCCAACCTTCTTGGCCTGCCAGGGACCTGGAGGACCAGTAAGGAGAAACCCAGCTGTTCTGAATGGTCCATCCTGGGTGCTGAAGTTTCATTTTAAAACAACCAAGTTTCCCAGTGTTAATCCATTTTTTGCAAATACCTCCTCCTCCTCTCTGGTTTGTAAGGGTGAAGATGGTTTTAGATTATGTCATACATATTTGGAAAATGCCAAAATAATAATAGTAACAGGAAAAAAACCCCACAAACCTGGAGGCAGAGATAAAAACACTGATTCCCTCTGGCAAGCTTCATATCCTCTCACGCCCAACTCGGGCCCTTCCTATTGTCGCCTGCCCATTCAGTGCCCTGCACCCCTGAAATTACCTCTGGTTCCTCATGGTGCTCAATGAGGGCTTTTGGAGGAAGGTTGTATAAGTTGCAAAGCTTGGACTTCACCATGATGGGAACATAGCCAAGAAACTGCTTAATGGTTCCTTTTGAGATTCCGTTTACAGCCCAGCTGATATCAGCCTAAATGAAAAAAATTAGTTACGAAAAAAACAAAATATTTGGATCTACAAGATCCAATTTGGATCTACAAGAACAAATGAGTATTTTAAAAGAGGAAAAAGACCATATACTAGATGATTTTATGCTTCAGATTTAAAAGAAGAGATCTCTTGGGTGACAGCACAAAGCAGAATTCTGGTTACATTTTATTGGACACCAATATTCGCAGACATGTCTAGCATTTGAGTCCGTACTGTCACTTGTACTCACTGTCAACTTTCCCCGGTAGGTGCTCCTCCTGCCCCGGCATTCTGCAGGATAAACATTGAGCTCCTTGCAGATGCTCCCTTTGGGAACGGTGGGGGGGCTGATGACAGCATCCACAATAGTGAGAGAGATCCGCTCATCTTTGAAAGCAAATTCAAAGGGAGGTATAGCCTGAAATACAATTCACATTATTAACTGCTTGCATGCCCCAGGTACCTTTTCACTGAGACTCTTCCAAAGCCCATGAATTTCCTACACACACTGTTGCCTCTCATGTTAATGTGGCATTAAGACGACAGCTAAAGCTACATCCAGTCTACTCACACCATCACTATGTCCCAAAAAGCATACGGCGTTAACTCGGACATCTGAACGTCTACCGTGTGTCAGCTTCTGCAGCAGGCTCTAGGACACAGGTTCTCAACCTGTGGGTCGCAACCCCTTTGGAGGTCGAATGACCCTTTCACAGGGGTCGCCTAAGACCATCGGAAAACACATATATAATTACATATTGTTTTTGTGATTAATCACTATGCTTTAATTATGTTCAATTTGTAACAATGAAATTGGGGGTCACCACAACATGAGGAACTGTATTAAAGGGTCGCGGCATTAGAAGGTTGAGAACCACTGCTCTAGGGTGACCACTGTGTGCAGAACAGAGCTGTCCTCTGAACCAAGAGCCTGCCCTCTCTCTCCTTACCTTGTAGCTTCTCCACGGGTAGTAAGACTGACAGAACTGCTGACAGAGCAAAGTAATGGAAGCACCTCCTGACTCAGGACCGGACACTCTAATGTCATTCTTTAGGCTGATAGTTGTGCATTTCATTCCACGTGGTCTCATACATGCCAAGGGAAAGGTGGTACCACCAGGTTCCCCGCCCCCACTTCATAGCATCTGCTTTTCGGTACCCGCCCTCCTCCCCGGGAAAAGCTCTGCTGTTCCACGGAGCTCTCCTCGTGTTAACTAGGAACAATGGAAGCTCAGCCCACGCGGGCCACTTCCTCACCCTCCAGCACCTACTGTCCTACAAAGCACTGCGGCTCCCAATCCCATAAAAATCCAGGAACCACAGACACATCTTCCCCCGGTCGGCTTGAGCTCAAGCCCCGTGCTACGGCTGGCACGATCAAGAAGCACAATTATTTGGGGTTCTACTATGACCTCCAGCCATCCCCTCTGTCTGGGATCCTGTCCCCGGCCAGTGCCCCGCTCACCCCGCCTCCTGGGTCTCCCCATGCCCCGTCTCCCACCCGCCGCCCCACCGCGTGGCTGAGCCCCTCGCGCACCGCGTAGTTGAAGGACTCCACGTGCGCCTGCGTCAGCTCCTGTAGCGCGGGCTTCTGCTGCTCCCGGGGGATCCCGTAGGAGGGATCCGTCAGGTGCTTGAGGCTGGGCCCCCCGGGCAAGCCCCGCCACCGGCCGCCGGGATCCATGCAGCCCGCACGCCGGCTGCCAGCACGCCTCTGCAGCGCCGGAAAGAGGCGCAGCGCCCACAGTTCGCTAGGAAATACAGCTCCTCTACTTCCACCGGGTCTCGGTCCGGCGTTTTATAGGGTCGACTTGGGAACGAAACCCTGGCGTGAACGGGCCGGCCTGAAACTGTACCGAGCCGGAATGCCCCCTGCCCAGCTCAGCTTTGTCCTCTGGTTTTCCTTCGCTCCAGGGCCCGAGGAGAGCAATCTTCAAAGGTTCCCTTACCCCCCGTGACCGCTTTCGGATCGCTGCTGTTGCTGAGGCTTCGAGGGAGTAAATAGCTGACTGCTCTCTGACCGATTTGAGTTGTAAAGGCTCCACTCTATTTCAAGAAGTGCTCTGCCTCGCTGCCTGCTCCCCTCCATCCTGGAGGTGGGGGATGGCAGCGTCCAAGGGCCCCCAAGTCTTAAGATCCTTTAGTCTGGGTCCTCGGAAGCACTTTCTCTGAATGGGGGCTCAGCAGCACCTTCAAGTGCCTCAACTTCGGGTATGTTTAACAGCTGCATTTGGTACTTAGGTAAAATCAACAGGCAATAAATCACACACTCTTAAATTCTACCCGTTGGTAAGCTTTGACATGTATATACACTCCCTAGAGGCCTGTGTCAGTGTCACCAGTTTGTGTCTGTCTAGAAATGTGCCCATTTCATATAAATTATCTAATTTGTTGGCATAGAATTGTTCATAGGATTCCTCTATAATCCTCTTTATTTGTGTTGTAGTAAATTTAGTAATTTGAGTTGTCTATTTTTTTTTCTTGGTCAGTCTAGGTAAAGTTTTGTCTATTTTGAAGATCGTTTCAAAGCACCAGCTTTTGGTCATGTTGATTTGCTGTATTGTTTTTCTATTTTCAATTTCGTTCATTTCCATTCTAATCTTTTTTTCTTCTACTTTTTGGGGATTTACACTTCACCTTCTAAGGTGGAAAGTTTCTTAAGGTGGAAAAAACCTAATGGCTATTGATTTGAGATTTTTAATGTAACCATTCAAACATATAAATTTCCCTTCAGACAGAGCTTAACTGCATTCCATAAATTTTGGTATGTTTTCATTTTCATTTATCTCAAAGTATTTTCTAATTTCCCTAGTGATTTATTTATTTGATCCATTGATTTTTTATGGCTGTATTTTTATTTTCCAAATATTTATGATTTCCCCAAATTTCTGTTAATGATTTCTAACTTATTCCATTGTGGTCAGATAACAGGTGTAGTATGATTTTGATCATTTTAAATTTACTGAGGCTTGTTTGTGGTTTGGCATATGGTTCATTCCAGGGAATGTTCCATGTGCACTTGAGAAAAATGTATATTGTTAGGTGGAGAGTTCTATAGATATTTGTCAGATCTAGTTGTTTATAGTGTTTGCTATTTTCTTGTTGATATTCTGAGTAGGTGTTTTATCCATTTTTGAAAATGGAGGATTGAAAGTTCCAACTAATATTGTTGAATTGTCTATTTCTCGCTTCAGTTCTGCCAGCTTCTGCTTTCTGTGTCTTTGGGCTCTGTTGCTAGGTGCATTATGTTATAACGAGTGGCCCGGTGCATGGGTTCATTGAAAGGAAATTAATTAGAAGAGATATTTTAATATCACTATTCGCCCTTTCTTTATAATAGAAGTGTCAACCAAACTCACAATCGACAATGACAGATCGAAACACACGCATGCAATTGGCACCAGCAACAGCTTTATATGTGTCGCACATGCGCGAGTCAACTTAGCCTTTTATAGATATAGAATAAACTTGCTTAATTAGACCTGCTTTCTGATGTAGCTAAACTTTTTCCAGCCCAGTGAAGCACCCCAACTTCTCTTTCAGGTCTGTGAGGATCAAATGAGATGAGGCACAGGAAAACACTTCACAGACATTTGGTTAAAGTGTAAAGAATTTGCACCTGGCCATAAAGCAAGTCGTGTTCCTGGGCTGAAGAAACTCCAAGGAGGCTAGTCACAAGGGAGAGGAAGACAGGCATTGCTACATCACATCATTACCCTGTGCCCACAGCGACCGTTTCTGGGCTGGGCTGGGCTGTGAGCTGCATTTTGCGCCATGGGGTTTTGGCAGCATTGGCTGTAATTTGGTGGGGTGTCGCTCTGGGGTGGTGGTGGGGCTTGTGTCTGGGGTGGGGGAAGCCGACTGTTGGTTTGTTGGTGCCAGGTCCATGGTGCCATTTTTTGTAAATGGCTAGTGTGCATCACGGCAACTTCTGCATTGAGCATCTGCCCCCTGGTGGTCAGTGCATGTCATAGCTACTGGTTGGATGGTTGGAGGGACACTTAGCATATTAGCCTTTCATAGATATAGATTGTATCTTCCTGATGAATCACTCCATTTATCATTAAAAAATGTCCTTGGCCTATAGTGACAACTTTGTTTCTTAAAGTCTATTTTGTCTAATATTGTATGGCCACTCAAACTCTCTTTGAATTACTATTTACACAGTATATCTTTTTTTATACTTTTACTCTCACCTATTTGTGTCTTTAGTAGATTGCAGAGGTGGATCATGGTAGTTTTGGTTTCTTTTTAAATCCATTTTGCCATCTGTGCCTTTTGTTTGAAGTGTTTAATCCATTTACATTTAATGAAACTTCTGATAAGGTAGGATTATGTCTGCCATTTTGCTATTTGTTTTCTGTTTGCTTTATACCTCCCCTCATTCCTTCATTTCTGCCTTCACTTTTGTTAGTTATTTTCTAGTGTAACATTTTAGTTCCTCTTTTTTTTTTACTATAATTAAAGTTATTTTCTTAGTGATCAATGTGTATTGATGTGGATCTCTTTGAGTCTATCCTACTTGAAGCTTGTTGAATTTCTCACATGCATTTTAATGTTTTTCATTAAAGTGAAAAGTTTTTGGCCACTACTTTTTCCACTGTTTTCTTCCCCTTTCTTTTCTAGGACCCATGATATGAATATGTTGGAATACATGCATGTCTCTGGACAGATCTCTGGAGCGCTGTTCATTTTCCTTCTTCTTTTTTTTGTTCTGCAGCCTGAATAATCTCAACTGACCTCATATTCACTGATTCCTTCTTTTTCCAGCTCAAACCTGCTTTTGAACACCTGTATTGAATTTTTTATTTGTATGGTTGTACTTTCCAATGCCATTCTTGTCTCATTTAGTTCTGTAAGTCCAATACCTGGGCTTTCCTCAGGGACATTTCTGTTGACTGCCTTTTACCTCTATGGGCCAGACTTTCTCTTTTCTTTGCATATCCCATAATTTGTGTTGAAAATTGGAAGATTTTAAGGATATAATGGGCCAACTTTGGAAACCAGATACTCCCCCCACTCCAGAGTTTATTGTTGTAGCTCTTTATTTAGTGACTCTCCTGAGCTAATTCTGTAAAACCTGTATTCTTCGTTATGCATGGCCACCGAAGTCTCTGCTTGGTTACCTTAGTGGTCAATTGATCGCATAGAGAGTTCCTGAATGTCTGGAACAAGTAAGTCTCCTAGTTTTTGCCCAGGGACTGTGTGTGTGTGTGTGTGTGTGTGTGTGTGTGTGTGTGTGTGTGTGGTGCCTTCATGCTCAAGAAGGAGGTTACAGCTCTGCCTTAGTCATCACTTCTTGCTTGTGAAAACCCTCCAAGTGAGAGAGAGGTGAAAGCTGAGGGAATTCAGGTCTCCCCTGGGCACACACACGGCCCTACACATGTGTGGCCTTCTATGTTCATTTTTTAAAATTTTATCTTTATTGTTGAAAGTATTACAATGTCCCCTCTTTCCCCCTTCCCAATGGCTCTCCACCCTATAACTGCCCCCCACCCTCCACACACACACATTGCCCATGCCTTCACCACAATGTCTGTGTCTGCTGTGGCCTTCTATACTCTTAGAACTATGTTGAAGGTTTTTAAAACCTAGGTGCATCTCAATTACGAGGGACAATCTTTTGGGTTATGTATTAAACGACATGCTGGGTTAAGCCAACGATGGCCACACCTGGTTTAATTTGTATGGTCTTTGAGCTAAGAATGCCTTATATATTTCCTAAGAGTCGGGGGAAAGGCAAAGAAGAAAATGCATCAGAGACCCTGCATGGCTTGCAGAGCCTGAATACTTACTATCTGGCACTTTACAGAAAGTCTGCCTGACAGAGTCATGGACTCAGACAACTGATGGTACCCGAAACAGTCAACTCCAACACTGAGATGACAGAACCACAGGAACAAGGACACTTGAAATGTTATTACTTCACTTTAATGCTCCAGGCATTTTAAACATTCATAACATCACCTTATTTCAGAAGTCATTTCCTCTTAGGTACAGAGTCCGTGTATCACTGAATTTTCTTCACGGCTCCCACATGCTGTGGGGCCACTCAGGGGCCTTGTCTTCTCCAGTAGAGCCCCCGCCCCTGCCCCCCGACATGCACCGCAGCCTGACAACCTCAACAGTTAAACACACTGTGTAGCTTCACTCCCCTGTGGGTGCTGCGGATCCCGTACCTTCCCAGCACTACTGCTCACTCCAAGGCCGTGAGAAACATCCAAGGCGCTGGGGAATATCGTGTCCGCGGCAAGTGTGCCCGCACCTGCTCCACTGTACCACACAGACACTGAGGCACTTGAATGTTCTGGGTAAAACTGAGCTCTAAACATCACAGGAGTTACTTGTGAGGAAAGGGGCTTTTCTCTCAATAATTAATGGCCTTAATTCAGCAGATTTATAGATTCCTGTCTGTTTATATCCGCTGCCAAAACTGTTTAAGTAGATGAAGGCATGTTTGACAAGAAGCAAAGAGAGAACGGCATAGACGGCACTTGTCGCATGAACACACATGTCAACACCTGGTCATTCTTCCAAAAGGAACTTTTAAAAGCCCTGGGCCCTACGGGATTCCTCTCAGGTAATAAGAATGTGTTTTCCCTTCCTTCTCAGGCAGCGTGGTGCGCACGGCTGCCCGAGGTTCTGATTCAGTCGCCGGGGTGGGGAGAGGGGCACGGTGTGGTTCCAGCACACAGCCAGCACTACGAGTCTTGGTACGGAAGGCTCCCGAGTCTTCCTAATCTCACTTGTCCTCACGAAAGCCTGTGAGGTAGTCCCGGGTCTGGCAACAATCTCTTCTGTGAGACAAGAAACTAAGGCACAGAGAGGTCACAGCTCATCCAACACTGAGCAGCCAATGGCAGGGCCAAGACTGGAGCCGACATCGCCAATGAATAGCGCACCCCTCCCCAGCAACTGGTGACATGGACACGGACACGCACAGGAAGACTGACTGGGCAGCGAGGCCGGACCACCTGTGCCAGGACAGTGGAGGGGATGCGACGGTTCCGAGCCAACCACCCCCTGATCAGAAGTAAAGATAAGTAGACATGTATTTGAAAACACGTGAGGAATGAGGTATCATTTTCTTTTTAGAGCCTCACTTCCCTCATACATGTGCTACTGAGTCAGGTTTCTGAGAAAATCCATCGAGAGCCACAGACTTCCTAACATCTGCATTCTTAGCTCCGGCACTGTAGCCGCTGGAAAGCTCTCAAATATTCCTGTAACTTAGGTCCAAAAGGTCATTACACATCCGTGTTCCCATGGGACAGCCCCACAAGTTTTCCACGCTTTCCCCATTACCAGCTCGCAGAAGCCAGCACCCCACACTCTCTAAGTGGGTGCACCTGGCCACGCCCCAAGTCCCCAACCCCAACTCAGCAGCCATGCCGGGGGCCTCCAGGAGTGACTTTAACCACTGACAGTTTCATTGTGCTCTGCATGCAAACTTCACGATCTGCCCTCTGAGCGAGCAACCACGGCATTACAGTTCCAATTCCCCATGCAAGCCCACCCAGCCGGGTCTCTCTCCTCTCCCCCAACATCACACCTTCACACCCTCTGCCCACATGTAAGCTCCCACATCTCATCATACGTTAGGAACAGTTGCTTTTTCTTCTCTTTTTAACACTGTCTCCCAACCTAGCCGGTTTGGCTCAGTGGATAGAGCATTGGCCTGCGAACTGAAGGGACCCGGGTTTGATTCTGTTCAAGGGCACATGCCTGGGTTGTGGGCTCGATCCCCAGTGGGGGATGTGCAGGAGGCAGCCAATCAACGATTCCCTCTCATCATTGATGTTTTTCTCTCTCCCTCTCCCTTCCTCTCTGAAATAAGAAATATTTTTACAAAGTGTTTCTGACTGCAGAACTGCTTTTTTTGTGTGCAAGGAGGACGAGTAACGGAGTACACATACACACGAAGGCAGCACACACCGCATTCCGAGGAGCAGGGGCCTTGCCCATGGGTCTGCTGGGATCCTGGCGCTCTAAGAAGGGCCCCTTCACTCGGCTCAGCGAACACACATGGCATCTTGTTCTTCCCACTGCTAGTGACGTGGCCTCCTGAAAAGCCTGCAGAATGCTCCCCGATCCAGCCAGGGAAAACCACACCACCCCTAACAGGCCACAACTGTTGATGTACAGGACACTGTGTGAAGCTCTAAAACAACATCTTTCTCATTTTGGGAGACGCTCCCATTCAGGCAGACAGACACTCACTGAGAGCCTCTCCCCGAGGCAGAGCCTCCTTGCTGGAACACCATCCCCTCCAGCTCCCACAGCAGGTGCTGGGAGAGAAGAAGGAGATGGTGGAAGCTCCCTGTGTCAGGGGCAGGGCCACCTGGGAGAGGGGAATTCTACCTTCTCCTGACCCCCAGGAACTTTGCAAAAGTGCATGAATTCTGGTTCAAAGATAACAGACCCATCATATTTCAAGGACACCCAACTATGAAGCAAAGCAAGGCATTGTCATTTTTCTCTCATGCTTTTTGATGCTTGCAGGCTTGTGGCAAACTTGCTGCTCGGTTTCTAAAACATGCAGAGAGCAGACTGACAGCAGCGTTTGCTATATTGGTGCCCAGCCACACCCACCCCGACCGGAGACTGACCCAGTGCCTTCAGGAACAGGATGAGGACAACGCCCTGCCCTTTGAGGCAGCGCACAGCACGGAACCCAGGGCCACGGCGCATGCCGGTCCGAGTCTCACAGGCAGAGTGTCAGGGGGGAAGAGCAGGGACACAGGGCGACCTCCCAAACGCTCTAGCATCAGCCCCGCAGGACAGAGGTTGCAGCTGGGCACCGAGCTAAGGCACGAGGGCTGCAGCAGACCGAGAGCACGCACAGGTCCAGTGGCCCCGGGAGGAGAGGCGCTGCTTTCAGGACGGCCTTCGCATAGAAATCTGCTGCTTTCAAGGACGACAACCGAATCCCCGTGTTTTCCCCTTAGAAGAACGTCTTGCTCTCCCCTCGGGGAAATTCGTTGCAGTTTTCAAGTCTGGGTAGCAGTGCAGAGAGCTCCACCCGGAGCCCCTTGGGGGCACCTTCGCTCTCGCACTCCCGCCTCCATCACAGCCTTGTGAGCTGCCTCTTTCTCACTGTGGCTTCGCTGGAGCCATGGGGCGTCTCTCCTGGAGCAGGACCCCACGCGTCTCCGGTCACAGCCTGATGAACGCGGCCGGCTGGCCCTGCGGCTCGGCGTCGGGGGGCGGGAAGACGCTGGAAATGGCTATGTCCACGATGCCCTGGCACAGTTCTGCATAGAGCTTCCTGAAACGTGTTCAAAAGTATGTTACTGAGGAAGTTCACCAACGTGCAAGCGAGAAACCAAAGTTTTTCTCACCAGGATCTGCCCTGGAAATTCCACCCCCCGACCACATTGATACAGGTGGCCTCCGCTGTCCACACAAACACGGCGGGAGGCGCCGTGGGAAGACAACGCGTCTGGAAGCCCTCGCAGGTGCACGGACAGAGAATCCCACTCTGACGTGAGCCGCAGGGAAGACGGCAATTCCAGTAGAGTGGACGGGCCCTCCTGCTGCCTGTGCGGGGGACACGGAGGGCAGGCCTCCCCACGCAGAGCACCCACTCCTTGCGGGTGAGGAGACGTTAGGAAAGACTCCCCATGAGTGTCAGCTGAGCTGAGGCCAGGGGAATGAGTGAGGTCAGAGGATGGGGACAGGGTAGAAAAGAGGATGGAGGAGGGCAAAGACAGGGACAAAGACAACAGAGGAGGGAGGGAGGGGAGAGAGAGAGAGTGAGCTGGGTGGGGAGGAGAGGGCAGCGCAATGAAAGGAGAAACAGGGAGGAGAGAGAGCCAGGGGTTCGGGGAGGTGGATCAGTGCAGGTTGGTGCTGCAGACAAGGCACTGGCCTGGCCACATTGGCCCAGAGGCCACGTCCGGCCTCTGGACTTTATCCAGACCAGTGGTTCTCAACCTGTGGGTCGCGACCCTTTTGGCAGTTGAAGGACCCTTTCACAGGGGTCGCCTAAGACCATCCTGCATATCAGATATTTACATTACGATTCATAACAGTAGCAACATTACAGTGATGAAGTAGCAACAAAAATAATTTTATGGTTGGGTCACCACATGAGGAACGGTATTTAAAGGGCCAGAAGGTTGAGAACCACTGGTCCAGACAATGGAAGCACCAAAGCAGAAAAGCTGAGGAGGACAACTTCAGAACGGCGAGGAGCCCCTCCGCCCCTGCCTGTTCCCTCGGATGTCTGCCCGCCTCATGGGGCCGCTCACGGGGCTGAGACTGTCCCTCAGGACTGGCTCTAACGTAGAATAAAACCAGAAATGTGTGGTCCCGAGAGAAACTCACTTCTGATTATGCTCCGGGGCACCCGGCCTAGGAAAGCAGAGGCCTTTATTGTCCTGCTTCCCGATTTCCACCAGGAGAAATCCTCACCACCCGGTTTCCCCCTCCCAAGGCAATGGCGTCCCGGCCGTCACCCTCCCCGTCACAGGACCTTCTCCCCGCACCCCGTTCCTTCTCCCCGCCCCGAGGTTCTAAGTCGCAAACCACGTAGCCGCCCGCCTCTAAGGAACAGTGACAGGAGCCGTGTGAGGCCTGATGGTTGTTACTAAAATGGGGGCTTGGCCCATCCCCTGCCCCTGGCCTCTCAGGGTCCCCGGGTCCCTCGTGGCTTCCAGGCAGCCTTACTGTAAGCCCCACCCCCAGTCCAGCAGTCCTCCCCTCAGAGTCATGCACCTAAACCACAGAACCTATTGTCGATTGCGGACGTGTAACAATATGATTCCCACAGTAATCACTCGGGCAGTGTCTGCCCGTCTCTCTCCTGCAGCGGACGGCCCTGAGCACACTCCTCTCTGCGGGACTTCCCGCAGACCCTTCGGAAGATCTGTTTCTCCAGGACGTGGACACGGAGGAGAAGGTGACCATGGATCTCGGAAGGACAGAGCCTTTAAGGATCGAGTCCCAACGACTCTCCCTCACATGTGCGGCGTCCCCTCCATCATTCCTCACGGCACGACATGATGCCACCTGCAGCCGCTTCCCCCAAAGGAATGGGAGCTCCCCGACCCGCCCAGGGCAGGTTCCGCCCACTGCGTTCTGCCCAGAGCCTGGCAATGAGCAAGGCTCCTCTGGTGCCTGGTGCATGCCCCTTCCTGAAAGCGCTCCCTCCTCCTGGGCACACGCCACGCCTCTCAGTCCCAGCTCCACTGCATCTCCGTGGTTCTCCAACCACTGCTGCCGGAGGAGCCCGACCTTCTTGGTCGTCACCGTCTCCGCCCCAGGACCCTGCCCGCTCACCTCCTACACTCCCCTCCTCCCGCAGTCTCTAGCCGTGTTTGAAACTCTCCCAGCAGTGACCACCCGCCTGAGCGGTCGAAACGCTCCACACACAGGGAAACGGGAGAGGAAATGCCTCCGCAAAGCCTCGGCCAGCAGGGTCCCCGGGGCCTCCTGTCCTGCCACTTCCTCCCTGACTGCGGCCCTGGGCGCACGGCCTTGCTGGGACAGGTCTCCCAGCCTCCACCTGCTACCGCCCGCGCTGTGAGGCTTACTGAGCACAAGCAGGGGCGCCGTTGACCTCGATGAGCCAGACCTTCAGCTCCTCGTCCACCATGAAGTCGAAGCCGAACAGCTGGAAGCTCTGGTAAGGGAGGTGCCGGGTGCTGATGGCGGGCTCCACGCTCAGGAGGCAGCTCCTGCGGGCAGAGGGAGAGCTGGCTGAGAGGGGGCGAGGGCGAAGGGGCCGGAGATGGGCCAGAGGACGGCCCATGAAAGGAGCTGCCATAAATCGGCTTTGGCGTCCTCTCTCCTTTAAAGTTGTCGCCGACAGGTTATTCAAGACAATGCTACTTACCCAGCAACTTGTGGGAAGACCTGTCACCACGCATTGTCTTTACAAACACAGGCGGCTTTCCCAGCTCCGAGCTGTCACCCGGGCCCCGGAAAGGTGGGTCCCTCCCACAGGACAGCGGCTGCCACCTTTTGTTTATAATAAATAAAACACTTCCATGTACATTTTCCATAGAAAAGAAGTGGACCAATGGTAACCAGTGAGGGCAGAATTGGCACAAAGACTATTGGCCTCATTCATTCCTTTTGCTTGTTCCAGTCCTGTTGCCAAATAGTTACTCATTAAAAGATTGAAGAGCTACATGTATTGAAACTAAATGTTGAAACGGAATAATTACTAGCATCAACTACTGTTTCCCAAAATTGGAAAAACAGAAACATGGAATATGCACTAAAAACATAAACATTTGAAAAAAAGTATAAAGGTTAAAAGTGAATCTCAGAAACATAGTGAATAAGTAAGTGAGGTCAGAGGTCAGGCTGCCGAGGCCAGAATTTTGGTCAATGTTTTAACCTCTTGGAGCCAAGCTTTGATTTCTATAAAGCAGGAGGTAGAATAATACCTACTCCTGGTGCTGAGATGGGCTAATGAGGTAATTACACAAGGAGCTAACGAATAATAAGCCACTGTCTTCAAATACAGCCATCCCAGAATACGTAGGCCTTTTCTGTTTTATGAAGATCTTCCCTGATTTTCCCCTAACCAAAAGTTGGGGCAAATCCCTATCTATAATAATAAAAGTGTAATATGCTAATTAGACTGGACAGCCAAACGACCTTCCAGATGTTCTTCCGGACCACCTTCCAGACGAAGCCGGGGCTGCAAGGGCTGAGCCCTTTGCAGAATTTTGTGCATTGGGCCTCCAGTCTTAGTAATAAATATGTTATGATGACTCTAAGATGACCACAGATAGCTGTCCTTATACGCCACTGTACAGTTAGAAGGGAAACTATGCAGGCTTCCTTGGGACAAAAGCCATAATTGACAAGATAATGACCATGAATATTCCAAAATTCAAGAAGCATTATGAATGTGTACAAAGAAGTGTGTACAAAGAAAACTATACACTATACACATCTCATAGTAAAATTTATAAAATAAACAAAAATTAACCTTAAAAACAGACTTAAAAATCATTAAAAGCAATACTAAGATTTCAACTGACATCTCAGCAGAAAAAATGGAAGCCAGAGATAATGGTGCCACCTTCAGAGTGCTAAAAAAATGTTAACTGCTGACCTAGAAATATTTTTCCAGAGCAAAAATCCTTAAAAAATGAAGACAGCCCTAACTGGTTTGGCTCAGTGGATAGAGCGTCGGCCTGCAGACTCAAGGGTCCCGGGTTCGATTCCAGTCAAGGGCACATGCCTTGGTTGCGGGCACATCCCCGGCAGGGGGTGTGCAGGAGGCAGCTGATGTTTCTCTCCCATCGATGTTTCTAACTCTCTATCCCTCTCCCTTTTCTCTGTAAAAAATCAATAAAAACATATTTTAAAAAAATGAAGACAAAATAAATATACTAATAAAAATGAGTCTAAAATACATGGAGCATTAACGACCATCCATGTATCCACATCCGTACTTTCAGGCCTCCTCCTTGGGTCCCTCCTGCTTTTTCTCCAGAGAAAATCACTATTTTGAATTTTTTGCTTTTCTCTTTATTTTTACCACATATGTACCTTCCTCTAAATAATGTATTTACTAAACCTGGCTTGTTTTTCAGTTTATATGAATAGAATCAATCTGTATGTGTCTTGTACACAGCTTTTAATTTTTTATTTTTTTGTGATTGACGTTATGTTTGTGTAATTCCAGTGAAAACACCCTTCAGGAATAAGAGAAATAAAGACTTTTTCAGATGATGGAAAATTAAGAGGACTTATCACCAGCAGAACGGCTCTAAAAGAAATGACAATGTCTGACGGGAAATGATACCAGAGAGAAATCTGGAACCTAGGGACTAAAGGAAAAGAGAAAAAAAAAGCAAATATATGGGTAAATAAAAATGTTTTTTTCTTATTTTATATTTAAATGTG